ATATGGGACATATTTTAACCAATTTTATAATTATAAAATGTTTGTATATCTAGAATAAAACCTCTTTGGTTGTGCTAAATTAATATTTACAAATGTTTTATTGACCTGATAGTAGGCTAATTATTAAGGATCTTTACACATCTAAAGAAACAAAATTATCTGTCCATTGTAGCAGAATATTAGAATTGTCCTTCAAATATGGAAGTGATCATATTAGCCACTTGTGGGGCAAAATAATTTAGTAGGATTTCTTGGTAGTGATAGGTTTCCGCTGATAATGAGCCTCAGCGTTAACTGGGTTGTCTTTACAACCAGTTGGTTTCATTTCTGGTTTAACCAGTTGACTGTTAAGTGTATCTTTGATTGTGAAACCAATTCAAGTCAGTTAACCCATACAAGAAAGGAACTAACTTCTGAGCATGCTCACTTACTCTGTGCTTTAAGTTATTGAGAGAATCAACCTCATAAATCAGTAGTAACATCATTAAAAAGAAAATTATTCATAATATGTAAAATATTTTTACACTTTACTGCAGTGTTTTTTTGTGTTTTGTGGTGTTGGAGTCAAATGTATGTCATGGAAAGTTTAAGCAAGCTTGGTTCTGTTTTTGTTTTAATGATGAAGATTTCAAACCTAGTAGTAGAATGGTGTTCAACAACTGCTTTTACAGATTATTTTATTTTATTGTTTTATAGATAATGAGCTTCAGTCCCCAGGATCTGCGAAGACGTTTGTGGGTGATTTTCCCAGGAGAAGAAGGTTTAGATTATGGAGGTGTAGCAAGGTAGTGATAATATGAATACTCAGAACTTAATTCCTTTCCTCCAAAGGTATCATTATACTTGCTTGCAAATTTTATTTTTCAGTCTTAAATTTCAGAAAAATGAAATGTAGCAAATTGTTGTACCTTAATTTTGTAGCAGCTACAGAATTTCAGCAAATGTTACTTAAATCAGTATCTTCTCTCTAAAGGACTGCTAATTGATTTTTCTCACATTCAGGATAGTCCTGTAAAATAGGGAGAGGTTGATAGACTCACTGAAGGTGCACAACCAAGTTATGGAGTTTGAATATGAGCTTGGTATCATCCAACCATAAACCAATGTTTAGGTTACTACCTCATGTTTGTTCCACATAGCACACAAGGCCCCTACTACAGATCAACAGTACAAATAGTCTTTCAGTTCCTAACTTGAATTAGTATGCATGTCTTAAAAATATTAGGAAAAAAAGTTGTATGAAGTAGAAGTTGGGAGTCTTAATTCTGCTTTCTTCATATTTGCTGTTGTTACTAAGTGCCTTCGAGATGGTTCCAACTCATAGTGACCCTATATAGGGTTTTCAAGGCACAGCTGGTAAATTTGAACTGCCGACTTTGTGGTTTAAACTAACCTATGGTTCAATACATTATTATCCCACAGTGCCATAACAGGATTTCTTCTTTATATTAGAGCTTCCAATCAAAAGCTTAGAAGATTTGCTTTTTCAATAAATATATGTCTCATGGTTTAGAATTTTGCCTACATGCAAGGACTTGTGCATCAGGATTGGATTTGAATATTTTTTACACTTAGTAGTATATGTAAAATAAGAATGTTGTTATTAAGTGTCGTCTAGTCAGTTCAACTCACAGTGACCCTATATAGGGTTTTCAAGGAGCAGCTGGTGGGTTTGAATTGTTGACATTGTGGTTTGTAGTCCAATACTAATACTCCTGGAATTGTTGTGAGGGTTAGAGATATTTTATTCATGATCTGGTCTAGAGCCAGAGTCTATGTGCTTGTTAATTACATTTTGTAGCTTTTATTTGTATTCCTGTATTTCAAAATTCATATTCAGCTATCCCCAAATATACACAATAATCACAGATAAATTGTAAATATGAACAAAAACTTTAAATTTCGTACAAATTTATATACATTCTGTAGGAGAGCAATTATTCTTTGTTACAGATTAGTGTAAGTGGCGTTGCCTCCAGAGGCCATGAACTAACAGGAAAGGAAATCTGAGACACAGCTTTCATACATGTATTGCCTCAGATCAGCTCTATGTCCTGTTCTACCAGACCCACCCTCAGTATATGTTATATACTTAGAAACCATTATTTTCTGTTAGTATCAGCTGGTATTTTTACATTGGAATATGAACATCTCAGAGCATTTTGTCATGAATCACTGGCTTTAAAGATTTAGGTACTAATGGCATTTGATGAGGATCACTATAACCCACTGTGGTCAAGTCAATTCCAACTCATAAAGGACAAGATAGAACTCCATAGGGTTTCCAAGGTTGTGAATCTATATGTAAGCAGGTTGTCTCATCTTTCTCCCATGGAGTGGTTGATAGGTTCAAACTTCTGACCTTTTTGTTAGTAACCTATGTTGTTAAGTGCCATCAAGTTGGTTTTGATTCTTAGCTACCCTGTATAGGTTTTCCGAGGGCAGCAGGCACGTGCTTGAACTACCGACCTTGTGGTTCCCAGTTTAGTGCTTGATCCTACAGTGGCATTTGTAGAATAATATGAGGGGACTTCCAAAGGTTAATGGAAAAATTAACTTTTGGAAGCCCCTCATATTAGACTCTTATTAGCTGCTCCAATCACATGAGTTGACAGTGAATTTTATACTGACTTACTGATTCTAAGACCAACATTTTCATATCCTAACATGTCTGAAATTGGAATGTGTCTTACAGTTATACATAATGGTGCATTTAAAGTCTTAGATTCTTTGAAATACAATAATAAGCAATGTGTAATGTCATCTCTTTAAAATGTGAGTTTAATAGAATCAATAAAAATCAAAATGAGATTAGAAAACTATCACCAGCTGTTGAGGAGTAAGTGCTGTCCAGTCTTCTGACTCATAGCGACCCTAGGAACAGCTGGTGGGTTTGAACTACCAATTTTGTGTTTAGCAGTCCAGTGCTTATCCTACAGGGCCGCATTAGGACTCGAATTAAGGACGTAGACCTTTAAATTAAAACACCTTTAAATTATGATTGAATTGATTATAATAAATCTGTTCATTTTATTTGTGCAGAGAAAAGAATATTGAAAACTGTGATTTGGAAATGTACTTCTCTGCCGATAAGGAAATTCTAGGTGAAACTTAAGAGTAAAAATTCCAACTCATAACCCTATAGGACAGTGTAAAACTCCATAGTGTTTACAAGGTTGTAAATCTTTACAGAAGCAGACTGTCTCATCTTTCTCCCGATGAGGATTATAGATTCCTTGAAACTGAGTAGCACTGTTAGCATGACACTTGCAAGAACTTTTACCTAGAGTTTTCTTTTGCTTTCAGAGAATGGTTCTTTCTTTTGTCACATGAGGTGCTGAATCCAATGTATTGCCTATTTGAATATGCAGGGAAGGATAACTACTGTTTGCAGATAAACCCTGCTTCTTACATCAATCCAGATCACCTGAAATATTTTCATTTTATTGGCAGATTTATTGCCATGGCTCTGTTCCATGGGAAATTCATAGACACAGGCTTTTCTTTGCCATTCTACAAGCGTATCTTGAACAAAGCTGTTGGACTCAAAGATTTAGAATCTATTGATCCAGAATTTTATAATTCTCTCATCTGGGTTAAGTGAGTTAAGCTTGTTTGCATTTAATTTTTCAAAATTAAATTAAATTCACTGTGATATTTTTAATTTACCCAAAATGGAGTTAAATGATTTATACTTGAAACCTTTGTCATTCAATATGAATTTATAGAAATACACCCATATTCTTAGGCAAAAATAGGATGACTTTAAAAGCATAATCATCCAATTTTCTTATTACTTTTATATGTCGCTTAATAGGACATATTGTTGTTAAGTGCTGACACATCAAGTCTAACTCATAGAGACTTGTATGAGGTTTTCAAGGAGCAGCTGGTGGAATTGAATTGCTGACCTTACATTTAGCAGTCCAGTGTTTGTTTTACAGTACCACATCAGTACTGCAATTAAGGACATAAAGACTTTAAAATACCTTTAAATTATGATAGGATTGAATATAACAAATGTGTTCATTTTATTTGTGCAGAGAAAATAATATTGAAGAATGTGGTTTGGAAATGTACTTTTCTGTTGATAAGGAAATTTTGGGTGAAATTAAGAGCCATGATTTGAAACCCAATGGTGGCAATATTCTTGTGACAGAAGAAAATAAAGAGGAATACATCAGGTGAGAAAGAATGCTTTCTTAAACATATTTTAAACTTTTTCTACCACAGCACATTTGTAAATTTCTAGTAGTTTGGGGTGTGGGGAGCGAGCTCTTAAAAAAGTTCCTTTATACTGATGATGAACAGTTTGTTTTTTTTTAAAGTAGTATTTACCTTTGAACTAATCATTATGAGAATGATCGTGTATTATTAAAGACACAGTAGATAGTTTTCTACCATATTAAGTTCATGGAGAAATGAAAAGAGATTGTGCTCTGAAAGGTCAAAGTAGGAGGGATATTTTTTCCTCTACACAGAGCAAGAGCTAATGATATTTGAGTTGAACCTTAATGGGTGGGGAGGTTTCCATTTACAGTGTTTCCTCATTACTGGTTTGTATTTGTTTATATGAGAAAGCTTCAGAAAATGTGTGAGGAAATTTCATTATCTTTTTAATTTTTTCTTGTGAATTGAGTGAAGGTTTACAGAGATCATCAACCTTTACGTTAAAAATATATACTTTGTTTCTTCTCAATGATTATAATTCCCTCCATGCAACAATATTTATTCTACTTCCTTCCTGTAGTTCTTTCCATTCCACCCTCTTTCTCATCCCTTCTCACCTTTGACCTTAGGTAAACGTTGCCTTTTTTAAATCTTCAGTGTTGGGCTATTTTGTGATGAGTATATGAGTATATAAGGAGCTCTGGTAGCGTAGTGGTTACGAATAGGGCTGCTAACCTGAATTTCAGCAGTTCGAAACTGCTAGCAGATCTGCAGGAGAAAGATGAGGCATTCTGCTCCCGTAAAGATTTACAGCCACAGAAACCCTGTGCAGGGTCACTATGAGTTGGAACCAACTACACGGTACTTAACAACATATGAGTATATATGAGTATATGTTGGCTATTTTGTGATGAGCCCTGGTTTGGTGGTGTGGGTTAGTGCGCCAGACTGCAAAGCTGTTTGAACTGCAATGTTGGCGGTTCAAGCTCATCAGCTGCTCCTCGGAAACCCTATACAGTGTCACTATGGGTTAGAACCGACTCGATGGCACTTAACAACAACAACAACATACCTCACTAGTGTTGCTGAGTTCCATTCCAGACCTGAAGGATGGTTAAGGTCCATAGTCTCGGGTTTTAAGATTTTATTGTGAGCTGAGTAATCATTTACATGGGAAAACATTGGG